TATCATTTTGATCCATACATTAGTAATGTCTGACTGGGCCTCATGTCACTTTGTGTTCAACAAATTGGGCCCCGAGGTCAAAAAGGTTAAGAAGCCCTAGTTTAAAAAATAACTCTGTTCTCATGAGGACACACTGCACATGCAGCACATCACCCGCAAACAGCTGGATCAGTATCAGAGCCAAGTTAAATTAAGGGATAACCTGGATATTTTTAAAGCAGGTTTGCAGGTCAGAATTTACAACAAAGACCTCACATGATCTTAGTGCTTGGAGGAAGTTGTTTTTTAACAGGGGCAGATATACAATATTTTTCTTCTTCMTTTTGCACCTTTATGATTCAATAATTGATTAACTTTGATGTTTTTAATGGTTTTTGTTGGTTTTAAGAAATAAACACTCACAGCTACTTTCACCAGTCTACTTCTGAAGCCTCACACAGCAACCCCAGCTGCAAATGACTCTTTTCTTCTATTTCCATGGAATTCAGGGATTTAAATAATATTTTTAAAACAGCACGGCTTTTATGAGGAGGCCCCTCAAATTTTTCGTCTCCAGGCCCAAAATGTTTGAGAACTCCTTCCACTTGACTTATAGAATACTCACCAAGTGTTTACTTGTGTAAAAGTCTGTTTAACAGCCTGTTAAAATACACCAGAATGCAGGAAATGGCATCTAATTCATTCAAAATTTTATGGAGGAGGACCCCCAGACCCCCCACCAGAGTGATTTTACACACCGTTTTCTCCTTCATTAAATACCAAACAGTCCTGATCACAATTGTTGGAAAAAGCCCAAATATGCAAATTGGACGATGACATTATTTAGCAACTTTTAGGACATCCAAAAGCAACTTTTGGCAACAGTGTTCAGTGGGTCGAAATCTCACTCCAATGAGGTCAAAACCTGAGAGCTCTGGGCAATGAAAGGTGTGAGAAAATGAATGTCAAACAACCATGTGACCACAAGTCAACTATTCGGCTTTGGATGGTGTATAATGGGTGCTCAAACCAGACTTAAGGCCACCATATCAAACCTCACCTAAAATGATCTCGTCACTTGGCAGAAGTATGTAACCCTGATCATCAGGACTTAATGTCCTGCATACTTTAGATGTTTCTTTGCTTCAGCACACCTAGTTCAAATATTTTAATTACTGCATCAATGCACTGCAGAAGCTGGTTAATTACCGATGTATTTATGTTGATCAAAAGCATCCAGTCTGCCTTACAGCACTTCCTGAAGGTGGAAGGTTTATGTAATACAACGCTAGTTTGTATGCTGGTAATTCAGTCTTTGGCACTGAAAAAAAAAAAGTATCTCAGAAGCAGCTTTTTYCTGAGTCAGAGAAAAGGCTGATTTTGTCAAGAGTCAGAGATGGGCTCACATAGACAAAATCTAAGATGTGTTTGAGCCATGTTTAAAAATTTCAAGTTAGTTTTACTGTGCCTAAAAGAAGACAAATATTATGCTTCAACGTGAGTGCAATAACATTGTTGTATTTTACCCTTCTAAGATTTGTGTATTATTTTGATTGGCAGAGTCAGAGCAGTTCACACAACTGCATTTATAATTTTCAATCATAGTAATCATTCTTTGAAGTACTATTAATGAACAATTTTGGGTCTTTCAGTATCACTGCCTTGTGTTTAGGGATCCTGCAGAACATTCACAAACACCAACTGTTGTTTAAAACAAATGTTATAAAATAGGTGCATGATATTAAGAATCTAATTGCAGGAATACGTAGACAAAACTTGTGATTTGTGGAGATGAGGTGTGTCTACAGATTACCTACAGAAATGTGGCA